TACTAGTTCTGTCAGAATATTTCTGTCATAAGCTCAGCTGGGCCAGTATGGCAGGATGACAGTTAAATATCTGATGACTATTAGAGGATTCACTTGTGAGATTTTTGAGGTTTTATAGACTATTTAATGATTAGCTCTGTCTTTGTCCTTGCTAAGTGGCGGTGGCCTTTTTAGCTTCCTCCAAACCTTCTCATACCCTAGCATGTTTGTGAGGGGGCCCAACTCTTCCTGACCTCCTGCAGGTGTTAAAAAATTACTTGCTAGGTGTCACAGGTGCCTAGAATGGATCATAGCTAAGGGTGCCAATCTCAGGTTAGACTATCAGAAAACAGGGCAGACATACCCAAACTGGTGGTATGGTCTATAATTAGATTTAACCAAACCAACAACAAATATGCGCTCCTGGACACTATACTAGCTTACCATGGAGCCACAGCCAGTCCACTTAGACACCCCAGCCTATACTGCCACCCAGACAAACTGGACATAATGATGAAAGGTTATTAAACCCAAAATTCATCATACATTACGTCATAGGCGCCAACTCCGTGGGTGTTCCGGGGCTGAAGCACCCACGGGGAAAAATTGGTGTATGCTCTGCACCTACCAGCAGCCTAGCTCCCCTCCCCATCCCCCCCCGGAGCCCTGCCCCGCCTCACCTCCGCCTCCTCCCCTGAGCGCACCGCGTCCCCGCTTCTCCTCCCAGCGCTTGCCACAGCAAAACAGCTGTTTCGTGGCATAACAACCTGTGGGAGGGAGGGGGGAGAAGCAGGAACATGGTGCACTCAGGGGAAGAGGTGGGGCCAGGGCAGGGATTTGGGGAAGGAGTCCAATAGGGGCAGGGAGGGGTGGAGTTCGGGTGGGGACTTGGGGAAGGGGTTGAAATGGGGGAGGGGCAGGGGACGGGAGGGATGGGGCAGGGGTGCATTCGGGGTGGAGGGGGTCGAGCACCCACCGGCACCAGGAGAAGTTGGTGCCTATGCATTAGGTTACTTCCAGCCCCAAAGGGCCAGTCACTTACCCCGGATCAAGGGATATTTCAGATCTCACCAAAGTCAGAGCTGAAGCCAATTTCTTTAGTAAACTAAATTAAAGATTTAAGAAAAAGAAATGCACGTTATTGAGAGGTTAAAGCAGGTAAAATACTTTACAGCATTCTTTGTTCTTATTTTATCCACACAAATTCATCAATCTCTACTGATTATTGCCTGTCAATATTTTGTGCTTCCCACGATATCTAGACAGGTCAAATATTTCAGTCCTGGTTCATATATCGGCTTAATATTGCTAGCATATTGTGTTTATAAATTAGATGGAGGTGGTAAAATTACTGTATTGATTATTAGCTGTAAACTCAACTATTAAAAGCAATTTATTCAGCATGTTTGGCACCTGGGATTCTGGAAACTGATAACCTCATTAATTTTCTGGATGTCCCTATCAAGGCTCTATACTCAGACAAGGCTGAAAGAGAATTAAATTCACAGAAAGACCATAAATGTCCATATTGATTCAAGCCTTTTGTTAAAATTCTTTGTATGTTCTATGTTCACGTTCACCGCAGTCATTCCAATCCAGAATGTGTGCATGTGTGCGGGGGAGGGGAGAGGGCAGGTGGCTATGGGAGGTCTGATATCATCATACGTATCTGGTACTTCAATGAACTTCACTGAGTTCTATGAGACTTGCTGCAATGGGTTGTGCGGGGTGGGGGAGTTCTGTGTACTGACAGGATTACGATGGGTGAATACATATTGCATTAGTCAACATAATCTTGGGAAGTGATTAAAGGGAGAATATTGCAGCCTTCAGACTGATCCCTAGATAAGCACTTAAAAGCACAAAAAAGAGGGTGCTCATTCATTCAAAAGCCCTCTTGGAATCAGTTTACAGGAAGTCCATGCACTGCTTGGGAGAGATTGTGGTCAGTAATGACTCTGAAGTGCTTTTTGGTTTTATAGCATTTCTGAAAAGCTTCAGCAAAGAGGAAAAATTAAACAAAGATATAAAAATGGAGACTTGGAAAAGGCTTTCAAAGCTCTTAGAAAGGGAATTGTACCACACAGCTAAAAATATAGCGCAGGTGAAAATGAATAAATGTCAGAAGTTCAAGCCTACGGGATCAGTCCTTCAAAATGTGCTATGAGAAAGCGCACCTTCTATCACCACTTTCCAGCTTGCTGAAAATCCTAAGAGATCTTGTTGTGCTTCAGGTGTGAAGAGTACAACATCAGGCACAAATAGTTCAAGATACAGGGCATTTGTCATGTTTTGTTCAATTTCTGTCTCTTCTATGTTCGGTTGTTGTTGTTGTTTTTTTGTCAATTAAATTTAGTGTTGGTTAACACTGCCAGACTGACAACACTAGAGAATGAACTGAATACAAATAACCTGGATGCTTCAGTGACCGCAGCCAATGTGCTCATCCCAGAGCTGTGAGAAGATGAGAATGTAATTCAGGCATAATCCATACACTAGTGATAAGTTAGTCTCCACAATTATTTCATGCTCCTTTCCATGTCCAGCCCTTGGCTTCTACTGAGACCACCAACAAGGGTGCCAAACATGAAGATGTTGTCTTTCCTGAAATGTGATCTTCTGTTCACTAGGAATTGGTTTGATACCATAAACTACTCTTTCACAGAGTATCAAATAACTTTCAGCTGTTTGCGAATCTCAGCATGGTTAAATTTGAACCAAGAAGAAGGGGGAGATCTTCATATGCATTAAATTTAACATGATTCTTCCACTCCCTCTTTTGCAGCCAGTTTTTCAAATATTTGTCTCTAATTTTGTGCCTGCAATCAACTGGATAGAAATCACACATTCTGGACATCTTACAAGGTGCAAACAGTGGAGAAGCAGGCCCATAACAAATTTATAACTGTCTCTTCATTTATTTTCTATTACTATGCTATATATGTAATAATTGGAGATGGACTGAGGTGACAGCGATCAGATCCAGTTTATAATTCTGGGTTTGGATTATATCTAAAACCCTGACAGTGGTTTTGATTTGCACTCAGATTCAACAAACTGACAACCCTTCTTTCAAGAATTTACACATGAACATTCATCCAGGTGCATCTTCCTTCCCCTACAACAGTCACTAGCCACTAGACATCATCAGTGATGGGAAGCTGCAGGTGTCCACCTCTTCTTCATAAGGGACAATGGAGGATCCCTAGCATGGGCTCTGCCCCAAACCTGGTTGTGGTCTTTAGGAACCTTTGCTTTGTTGAGGACTGCTGGAACACTTTGGACTCTAGCAACTACACCAGCTTGCCCTCTCTGTCTTGACGCACACCCCTGCATTGGGGTGCAAGAGAAGGTAGGTGTACTAATCTGTGCTACTGATTCTATGCCTTTTGTGGCATGCTGGGGAGTAATCAGCAAGTAATGTAGGGGAAATTCTGCTTCCTTTGAACAGTTTGAGTGGTGTAAAGCGAGTACAGTGGGCCAGAGAATCTTAAGTTTTGCATTTCCTGACATTTTGTGATGGATAAGTGCAATCTTAAACTTGAACTAAAGTATTGATGCATTTGCATTTTTTATATACAGTGAAGAAAGCAATAAACAGGATATACAGTTAGCCATCTTAAAATTATGGTTTGTCCTGCATTTCCAAAATGAACATTTTAGATTAAAAAAGATAAATGCCAGAATGACCACAGTTGCAAACAAAGCACCTTATCCAGCAGTCCTTTGCAGCCAAACTGTTACCAAAGCCTCAGTAAATACACTAAAATAACCTTAATGCTGCCCCATAGCTACACCAAACTTTACTCTTCCTTCCTTCATATTGGGAAAGAAGAAGGTCTTCAAGTACTGTCTCCCTATTTAGTAATACAGCCATGGAATGAAGTGGGTGAGAAAAACCCACAAAAGGAGGCGGAGAAGAGATGAAGATCTTTACCAAGGGAAATAAAAATGACACTTGGGGTAGGGCGTGGGAAGTGGGAGAATGATGTTGTGGTCTGCAGAGCTTTATGCATTAGAGCTTCATTCTGGTCATCTGCACTACAGTTTTCTCTGACTGCACTAGCTGGGAAGGGAGCCAAACCTAAACGTATTTTCAACTTTCCAGTCGTCTCTTATGTAGTTTGTGTACTGCAGTCAGTACGTTTCCTTTTGTGTTTCTCTTTTCTTTTTTATTCAAGCTTCAGTTTAAGAGCTGTGTTGCAGTCTAGGGGCCACAGCATATCGCTGTAGGCTGAGGAGAGGAATACACACATGGAAATGTGTCAAACTGAACAGAGACAATGGGGCTGTTGTTGGGCTAGCTAGCTGTGATGAAATAAAAACCCTCTGAAGTTCATGCAGTATGGGAAGTGGTGGTTGCTTGATTGAAGGAAGGAATCCTCTTTGGTAACCCAATAAGTAACCCAGATTGGGCATGTGTCAGCTGACCTGGGTTCGCAGGTCTCAAGCTGTGGGGCTGTAAAATTGTGATGTAGACATTTGGGCCTGGGTTGGAGCCCGAGCTGTGGGACCCTCCCCACGCACTAGGTCCCAGAGCTCAGACTCTAGCCCAAGCCCTAACATCTACACCACAATTTTAGAGCCCTGCAGCCAGAGCCCTGCAAGCCTGAGTCAGCTGACATGGGCCAGCCCTGGCATTTCATTGCAGTGTTTATATATGGAAAAATTGAACTAGATGCATGCTGTGTTATTCTGAACAGCAACCTTCTAGAAGCAGAAGAGAGAACATTTCTTCTGTTCATTATAGGACTCCAAAACTGTGTCTGTGCTGAAAGTGCAGCTTGATTTCATGGCTTATTGAAATGAATCTAGTATCCAGTGTGACATTTCAAATAACAGCAACAATATAGTTTTCCAATACTTTACATTAAGCACATGTGTTTTGCAGTTAATGGAGCTGTCGGTGATACAAGAGTGCAATGGAAACAAAAAACCATACTTAATGCACTGAACTTTGACCACATAACAGCAACTAGAAAATAAAATCCATTTATTTTTCTTCTTCCTTTTGCTTTAAGGAGCTGAACGAACTTTGTAGAAATGCTGCAGCGGGTTGTGAATGAGGATCTATGAGATGAGAAAAGCATGCCCTTCTGCTCAGAGGACAGAGTGAATGAGCAAAAGCAAGCAGTGCTGCGATGTTGGGCTGTTCGTTCTCTGATGAATATTCGGGTGCAGTCATAGAAGGCTAGGAAGCCTGATATTAAAACAAAATATGTATCAATGTGTTTGTCTGTTGCAAAGCACTAATCACTAGGAGAATGATTCAGTTAGGCAGTCAGGCCTTATCCAAAAACCAATGAAGTCTATGAGAGTCTTCAGTGAACTTTCGATCAAAAATACCATAGTCTAGATTTTTAAAACCCAGCCTTCTTTTATGTGCTTATAATAATCATTGGATGCTATTTCGCAACTGGAGTTAGTTGTATGCTCTTTTGATGTCATTTAAAAGTCTAATTGCATAGTACACAGATACAATGATTTAGTATATTTTGAACTTATGTCATGTTTTCTTAAAATCCTACTTCCTCAATTTTCTGGTTAAGGCAGGAGTTAGGTGAACCCTGGTCTAATGCTGAAGCAGGACTCAGAGTAACATCAATTGAGTGGATTGGCAGGGTCCCAGCCTCAGCTCCCATTTTGTCTGAGTGAAAGAGGGATGTTCCTGCTTCTATAATGTGACTGTCTTTAAGCCTGTAGGATGGGGGAAATGGGAGAAGACACAGAATTCAAGGGATAAATGGTGAAAATAAACTGGGGTTTCTGGAGGCCTGTGAGCCACCAGGAGGGTGAAGAGGATAGCCATTGATGGCTAACTTGCCTGCTTCCAGGTGAATCTACAGAGACAGTGATGGAATAGGTGAAATGGATTTTCAATCCTTGAATTCCCACTCCTTATGCCCATTTAACTGTCCACTGAATAGCTAGTTCTCCTATCTCTTACAGGGGCACCTTCATGACATGGGCATTTTTTCTCCACTGTGAATGTTTCCAGCCAAAGGTACAATAGCAAGCCAGGAAGCAATAGGGCCGGGGTGTGTTGAAGAGTCCCATGTAAAGGTAAGCACTCTGATGGAAAGCAAATCCCTTGCTTTGCTATTAAAGTATCTTCCTGCTACATAAATTATTATTGACTCTGCTAAATAATAAATAAAGTCACATTACCAAATCAGCCTCTCCTGATGCAATAATGAAAACATCTTACTGATCTCCTTTCTCATCCATGACTCATTTTCAATGAGAAATGGAAGTGGCAAAAGCCATCTCTTGCAGACTCTGACTCAGAAGCCTCTTTTTTTTTATTTAACTTGTTATGTATTAAAATGTTCTGGATACAGGTTGACTTGCTTTGTTCAATATTTATTATTGTTTCACCTGCCTTGAAATGGGAATAGCTAAACCTTTGATAAATGAATTCAAAGGCAGTCAAAATTCATTGTTCTTGCTATAATTGTCTTTGTGTCCTCTGCTGGAATTTTATTTGGTACCTTCTGGTGACACCCTTCTGGGAATGAAATAGATATGCCTTCTGATACAATAGAACATCAATAACACACACACTTCATTAATCCAGACATTCCTTAATTCACAAATGCCCAGTTGTTTTTTCTCACTTCTCAGCAATGATGTGAAGTCTACTATTACTAAGAGCCAGATTCTCCTACCCTCCCTCATGTTTTTCTATCTCCCCACCTTACTCCACCTAACATCACTGGGCCCACTTGTGGAATCAGGTGTTACTCAATAGGACTAGGAATCTGGCACTATGACTTCAATACTCTTACAAAATATACCAGAGAACATTCATTACTATAGTTTGAAGTATCATAAATAATTTAGCATTGAACTACACATATCAAATACATGATCACCATGATTATGTATTGTGATCAGCTAACCTTTCACTTTTATTATTGTGCTTTTTTGTGTGCTCACTAATTTGCAATATCCAGCCATTTACAATGGGTCTTCCAATTAGCAAGGTTTCCTGAGGACTGTCTCTCCATTATTCTCTAAAGCACCATGCACTTATTGCATTATGTAAATATTAAATAATAACACAATCTCTATCTCATTCAGCAACAAGACACTAAGGGGACTATTTTATCTTTTTGATTTTGTGTAGGTACATGACTATCACAAATTACTGGAAAAAATGAAAGCAATATTTTTCTTTTGACTGATATAACGAAGACATACTTTAAAAGGTGTAAAGTTTAAAGATGGACCCTTTGGCCTTATAGTTATAATAGAAGGATAAAGGCTTGTGCCACTCCCTCTTCTTTCTATTCATGGCACACACAAGAAAGTTTTTAAAAATAAAGGGGATGTGTGGAAAAACCCAGCTGATTTAAATTAATATTTTCTCTTTCACTCAGAGCAGCTAAAAAAGAAACCACCCAGATGTAAATATCCCTTTAAATTTCATTCTGAGATCTTCACTGTCAGCATAACATGATGTGATGCAACTGAAAAATGAAACAGGGGCAACAATAGTTTAAAGTGACTGTTGTTGTTTCCATTATTAAGTCCTGACTCATGGTGCTACAAGGAAACACGACATGACACGACTAAGTGGTGAAATGGATGCAATAAAAATTTAAGCAAGGCATACACAGAGAAGCATACAACAGCTGCACATTAGCAATCCAAGGCACTTCAGAAACAAACAAAAAAAGCCAGCCAGTCCAACCCTGCCTTATTTTTCCTGTCTTCTTCCCATCAACCGGTTTCTAGAGTATTCTTCCCAGTCCCTTGCTTCTTTAAAATCAAAGCTAGATGTCTCTTTCCTGAACTATTTTAGTTATTTAAAGCTTTTCAGTGAATTTAGCCCTGGCAAAAGACAGCTCAGAAAACTAAGGTCCTCTGTTTATTCACAGAAATTGCGATATTGTCAAGCAACACAGCTCAATGTCTTGCCAATGTGATTACAAGCACTGCCAAAGTATGTGAATACTGGACAGAGGTGCTGGAACTAGGGTGGCTGGGAATGCAGCAGCACCCCTGACTTGAAATGGTTTCCATTATATACAGGGTTGACAGTTTTGTTCAATGGCTTTCAACACCCCCACTATCCAAATTGTTTCAACGCCACTGACACTGGATGATAATTAGAACACACTGTTCTGTTATTGCCGACATAATCTACATACAGACATAGTACAGATTTAGACCCAGACCTTGAGAAGAGCTGATCAGAAATGTTCTGTCTATATGGTTTTTTTCACCAGAATATGCTGATTTGTCAAAACCAAAACTGTGAAGGGGGCAAGAGTTTCGACGACTCTCCACATTTCAAAAAAATGTGAAAAGAAGTTTTGAAATAGTAAAAAAGTCCTATTTTAACATTTTTGAATGAAAAGTTGTTTATCATTTCAAAACAACTTTTCATTACGTTTTAGTTTATTTATATTTTAAAAGGAAAAACATTTTTAAAAGGTCAAAATCAAAACAAAATCTTTTGATTGACCCAATCCAATGTTTTTTGGATTATTGGACTCATGAACATTTTTGTGATTTCAACTTTTCAGTCTGATTTGGCATAGGAAAAATGTCCAAAATCTTGAAAATTTTCACAGGGAGAACAATTTGCCGCCTGGCTTTGTGGCCACTTGGAGAAGAATGGGCAGCAGCAGGATTATCCCTCTAGTAGTTACACAGGAGTCATAAGAACAGTCCCTGAGCTCTTAGGACTCTGAACAGTACAGAAATTGTTCATCCCTTGTCCAGGAATTTGAAAACAGGGAGGGGATGACTGTGGCCCTGTTGACCCCTCTGTATTGGCCCACACCCAGCATGACTGGGGAACCATGGAACAATTGGCTCCATGCAGTTGGAAGGATTAGGTAGTGCTGGCCCCATTGCCAAACAAGAAGCAGAAAAGGAGAAAGAGGTATGGGCAGGCCTATGGCTTTAGAGCCACAATCTGACCCTTAGTAAATAACTTGGATATTTGGAGCCAGATCATGCCTGGCCTTTAAATGGGTGTGCACGGGAAGGGAGATTGTAAGGAGTTTTTATCCTCTCCATCCTCATTCTAGAACCACATACAGCTGCAGTCTCTGCACTTGGAGGACTGATCCCTCCATATCCCTCCCCAGTGAGGCAAGGTGCCCCCAAATAAGCATGGAGGAGTTTGAAGGAAGTGCGGGCAGCAGAGCAGAGAAAGGCTTTAACCTGCCACTGAGCAGCAGGTATCCTGAGATGTATTTGTGTTTGCAACTGTGAAATCCACGTTGCTATGGTATGTAGAAGAGTTGAAGACTGTGATGTCCCAACCAACTATGGAATCATGTGCTTTGGATCCAAATACAACAGTCTGCTGGGAACTGCTGATTCAGTTGGTGCAGAGGGCCTGACATTTACTATAATCTCATTCTGTACAACCCATATAAAAATAGACTGAAATTTTATGCTGTCACTGTGATCCTACAACAGTCTAGACTGTGTCATGTACAGGAATTTATGGGAGAGAGAAATTGTTTTCCTGTTTGGCAATTCATTTCAGTAGATTCTGCAGCTACTTGATTTTCTCAGTTTAAAATCATTGGTTTATTTTTCACAAGGGAAAATAGAGCCCAAGCATTGGTCCTTTTGCCCTCAGAAAGACCTCAAGCAAATTCCCTTCCTTTACTTCAGCTGGCCAGGGCAGCTTCCATTTTCTACTCATTTCTAGTGACTTAGTACAATATAGAGAAACCAAATGAAAATATGTTACAAGATTACAGGCGCTGCAGATCAGAGCAAACCACAGAGAAGCCCTGTGTACTTGATGAATGCCAAAGCCAATGCTTCTTTGAATTCCAATCCAGCTGTTTCCTCTTCGAAACTATCAGACTTGGCTGCAACCTGCTCTATCCGTGTCAGTAGTAATAAGTCATTTCACAGTTGGTCTGGAATCCCATAGGATTCATTTGGCACACACTCATCCTCTTCTATGCTACCAGAACTATTCCCTCTTAACTTTCCTTACGATGGCAGGAGGTCCAAAGTGAGATAGGACAACAGGACTGGAATACTGGGTCCATATCCCAGCTCAGCCATAGACTGCCTTTGCAACCTTAGATAGCCAGTTAATATTGTTTTTCAGTTCCTTACTTGTAAAAATGGGGGTTCTACAATCATAAGGGAGCTGTGAAGATAAAATCAATTTGTGATTGTGAGGCTCCCAACTATCATGATGGTGAGGGCTATAAAAGTATCTAGAGAGATCTGAGCAAAAAATGAAGGGAAAAACTTCAGGAGCCCTGATTTCATGGTCTTGTCACTGACTGCAGGACCTCAACTCCCATTCAGGGGGACTTGTTACCCATTTATTACTATCTAGCTCAGCATCAGTTTACTCAGGTTTTCCATGTGTGGTTGACTGGTAGAATGACACAGCAGAGAATGACCATCCCCCGGCTCGGCACTCAGATTGCAAATGCATTCTCTCTCCTTGCCACCCACAAACACAGGACCCTGGAGAACAATCTCCATAAACATCCACATATGGACGGGAAGTGCATGCTCCTGAGCCATCCCTCTTCTCTTCCTTATTTTACTCTGTAACCGCTGCTTTTCATCTGCTCCCAGATGCAGAGGGAAGCATTTAGCTATAGGCAAACTAGGTAGCTGCCTAGGGCTACAAATTCTGCCTAGGGCAACAAACCTGAGTGCTGCTGTGGACCATGTTCAGATTCCAATGTTACTCACTCACATTTGGCCCAGCTGACAGCCAGTCAAATCAGAGTGAGTGACACTGACAGTGGCCCTCTCCCTTCTACCATAGCCATCAAATCATCAGAAGGCATGTTGCACATCCCAAACAAGTCCAGGCACCCCCTTCTAAGAACCTCTGCCCTGGGAATTGTATGTGTGTGTGGGGGGGAAGGGGGTAGACCACTGAAATTTTGCTTAGGATGACAGATTGTCTTGAGCACTCTCTGTTGAGTCTTAACCCTTAGAAAATCAGAGCAAGTGGTCTCTAACTGTTGGATTTCTTTTATACCTTTTCTTTAACTCTCTTTATCTTTAATTAGTAGAGCTGCTAG